CACCCAGTGTTTAATTTTAAGGAAATAGCCTTAGGGCTAGTGGGATGGCTTAGTGGGTAGAGGTGATTACTCCTCAGGCCTGGTAACCAAGTTCTATCTCCAGAACCCATGTAAAGATAGAAGGACAGAACCAACTCTGCAAAGTTGTCCACTGCCTTCCATGGGCATACTATAACTTGTGTGCTCTGACCCCACATCATACATATATACATGGTATATATGTGTGTATGTGTGTGTGTGTACACACATACATATACCATTTTTTAATTTAAAGAAAAAAAAGAAATAGTTCTCTCTTAATTTTCAGAACTTGCCTTTCCTCCTTAAAGGACAAGTTTAAACTGTATCTACAAGTTTAAATGTTTACCTACTCTTAGGTAAACATCCAAAGGAGTTGAAAGGACCTAATCCTCCTAGACCCATGGTTCCCAGCAACATATCTGCCCCACTTTCAACCAAACCAACAGATGCACAGAAAGTCACAATGTGCTGGATATACACTCCATAAAGAGGGAGGAGATCCTGACACCATTACAACAGGGGACTTCTGAGTACATTACACTAAGTGAAATAAGCCAGTCAGTCACAGAAGAACAAACAGCACATGTTTATCCACAGTCCTAGAGTAGTCAGGCTCCCCGGGAGAAAATAAGATGATGGCAGCCAGAGGCTGAAAGCATTGGGAGCTGTGTTGTGCAAGAAGGTTCAGATTGGTGTCGAGAGGAAGGTTTGGAAACAGAGTGGTGAATGAATATTTAACAGTACTAAACTTAAACACTATTGAACACTTAGAAGTGGTGCTGATGGCAACTTCCATCCTTTATTTTACTACAATAATACCTCACACATTTTAAAAAGTAACACAGAAAAAGAGCAACATTCTATGGCTGCCATGTCCAGGTCAGAAGGCAGCCATGAAGAAAAATACTCACTGAGCACTGCAGACCTCTGGGTCTTACCTCATGCCAAAGAAACAAAGTTAGGTTCACAGGTTCGTAAAGACAATGCTCAAGAGTCTGAGGAAGAAGAAGAAGAACCCATGAGGGAGGATCCAAGGCTACTCCATCTGGATGGTGATTCTATACCTTGACATGCCCCCACCCCCAGGTCACCTGGCCAGCTCACACAAACCCACTGTGGTAGGAAAAGCAGAGCCACCTCACACACAGTGTCCTATTATAGAACTCCAGGAGAGATGAGAGAGACACCACGTAAGTAGCTAGAAAAGCACTCTGTACCCTTGAGCACACAGACCCTTATGTCAGAAGAACCAAGAGCCCTTGGAAGGGACAGAGCCAGAACACTGCAGATGAGGAAGCCCCACCAAGAAGGAGTGCGGGGGGGGGGGGTGCTGCTGCTGCAGCTGCTGGCAACATACCTTGCTTGTATAGTCAAAATGCACAAGAGTTTGGAAATAGTCAATTAGATGTGATCCTGTGGAACACTAACACCAAAGGTCTGGAGTGGGGCGCATTAGCTATGCATTCCAAATTCCTGATTCCAGGCCATCCGCGAGGCAGAGACTTTCCCATCTACTACAAAGGGTCAACAGTACCATGGCCGCCAACTTTTGCCTGCGGGCAATGTGGCAGCTTGCCAGGAATCTAAAAGCTGCACCTGATTGGCATAAAACGAAGTCAAATGGAGTCCCTTTCATCTTCGCCAAGGAAGAGGGGCTCTGAAGCCGCCCTGCCTGCCACCCGCCTATGCACCCACCAGGCCTCCTGGAGGCAGCAACAGAGCTCTCAGCCCTCTCCCTACACCCATACCTCACACCCTCAGCCAACACCACCAGCCTGTTTCCTAACTTGCGTTTCCTCCTTCCTGCCCCTCGTCCCTTCCCACAGGGTACAAGTGCTAGTCTCTAAAACAGTCTCCTGGGATTCTAACTTCATTTCTGTTGCTATGATCACAGTCTGACCAAAAGCAGCTTAGAGGAGGGAAAAGCTTATTTGATACAACTCTATGTTACAATCTGTCACTGAGGGGCACTCAAGGCAGGAGTTCAAGTCATATCACATCCAGTAAGGAGCAGAGAGAGAGGAACAAATGAATCCTGCCTGCTCGCCAGGTTGTGGCTTATGTTCAGCTAGCTTTCCTCACTCACAGTCCAGGACCACCTGCCCAGGGAACAGTGCTGCCCACAGAGAGTTGGGTCTTCCAGCATCAATCAACAGTCAAAACAAGAGCCCAAAGACAGGCCTCAGGCTAACCTGATCTAGACAATTCCTTAGCTGCAGCTCTCTTCCCAGTTGACTCTGGGTTTCCGCAAGTTGACATTTAAAACTAAACCATCATGCCTGTGCCTCTCCCTTTCACCCCACTCAGAAAACCACAGATCTTCCCTTCCCTGCCACAAACCCTTCAGTAACAACCACTTCCTCCAGGAAATGTCCTACATGTCCCAGCCCTAGCTTCACCAGCTGTGTGCCAACCTCATACCTTTGCTGACCTTCTGAACCCACTGAATTCAACAGGTGTCCAGGAACCTGTCATCTATCTCCAGGCAAACTTTAACTTACCTATCAGGACCCGATACAAATGGTACCTCCTTCATGAGGCCTTCCCCAACTCCCACTACACCCAGTGGTTTTATAGTTCATGCCCTTCACACACTACGTCTCTCAGCACATTTGCTTCCCATGCTGCCTCTTACCCACCAACTCCAAGAATATACGTTCTGGAGGGTGAGGTGGCTCAATGCCCAGGACCCCACAGTTGTGAGAAATAATAGGTGGCATCTATCCTAACCTCATGGGCCTGTCCATTGATGAAGGGCTTTTTTTTTTTTTTTCTTCTTCTTCTTCTTCTCGTGAACTACACCAACAAGGAGGGCTTAAAAAGGGATCCCAGTTGGAAAATGAGCAGCCTATAGGCTTCATCTGATCAGGGGGTCTAGGTCTTTCCATGCATGGTCCTTGGTTGGAGCATCAGTCTCTACAGGCCCCCTAGACCCAGGTTTTGTTTTTGTTTTTGTTTTTTGTTTTTTGTTTTGGCTCTGTTGGTCTCCTTGTGGAGCTCCTGTCCCCTCCAGGTCTTTCTATCTCCTCCTCCTTCCATAAGGTTCCCTACACTCTGCCCAAAGTTTGGCTATGAGTTTCAGCACCTCCTTCGATACTCTGATGAGTAGAGTCTTTCAGAGGCCCCCTGTGGTAAGGGGATCAGGGGCTGTCTCTGATATAAACTCAGTGGCTGGCTCTTTGATCATCTCTCCCTGGTGGGTGGAGCCTTTCCAGACCACAAAGGAAGATGATGCAGCCAGCCTTGATGAGACCTGATAGGCTAGAGTCAGATAGATATCAGTGAACTAGAGGAGAGGCATAGGAGGAGAAGGGTGGGTGGGATTAGGAAAAGATGGGGGGGGGCTACAGCTGGGATACAAAATGAATAAATCATAATAAATAGTAAATAAATATTTTTTAAAATATTTTAAAAATATAATATAAAAAATATAAAAATTAAAATTTTTAAAAAAAGGCCCCCAGGGCCTTCAGAAGCCAGGAGAAACTTGGGATGCACAGCTTCATCCTCTTTCATACTGTTACTACCATGCAAATTTCTAGAACACCTAACTTCCTATCTCCTCTTCCTAAGTTCCCACATGGTTGAAAGAGAAGACAACTTACACATATACACAAATTAAAAAAAAAAAAATCTTTCTGCCACCCCCACCCCAACAGGGCAATCAAAGCTAGGGATGGTGACACAATCCACAATCCTTGTACCTGAGGCAGGAGAATAAGAAATGTAAGGTCATCCTTAGCTATATAAAATCCTGTTTCAAAAGTAAACAGGGCTGCGGTTTGGGTAAGAGTTGGGTGGCTCACACCATTAATCCCCAGCATTTGGGAAGCAGAGGCCAGTCTGGTCTACAGAGCAAGTTCCAGGACAGCCAGAGGTACACAGAGAAACCCTGTCTCACCAATCCTCCCAACCCCCCCCCAAAAAAAAAAGCAAACAGGAAGCAATTCAAGCCAGTAGTGGCACACACTTTTAAACCCAGTACTTTGAAGGCTGAAGGAGGTAGATCTCTGAGTTTGAGGCCAGCCTGGTCTACAGAGTAAGCTCCAGAATAGCCAGGGCAATACTGAGAAACCCTGTGTCAGAAACAAAATAAGAATTGGGAAGTAAAAAGAAAGACTCACACTGAGGGACAACAGACCTTCAGCAAAGGTGGCAACAAATGTACTGGGACAAAAATTCATGGGCAAAAGAACAGGGGCCTCTGTCTTACCCCACACAAAACTAATTCAAATGGATCAAAGACTTCCATGGAGGGGCTCAAAGTAAACTGGGCAAAGGCATGCACACCTTAATCTCAGGAGACAAACAGGTCTCTATGAGATTGATGCTAGCTAGCCTAGTCTACATAGCCAGGCCAGCCATGCTACACAGTAAGACTTTGGGGAGAGAGAGAGCTAGAGACACAGAGAAACACACACACACACACACACACACACACACACACACACACAGAGAGAGAGAGAGAGAGAGAGAGAGAAAACTATAAAATTCCCAATAAATTTCCACTAAGCTCCTAGTAAATCTGTGTTACCTTGGACCATGCAATGGTTTTCTAAAATACGACAGCAAAAGCAAATGCAAGAAAAACGAACTGAACTTGTTCAAAAATTTTAAACTCCTGGCTTCAGAATCAAGAAAATGATGAGCTGAAGAAATAGTTTAACAGTTAAGAGCACTTGCTGGCTTTCTCAGAGAACCTGGGTTCAATTCTCAGCACACACAAACCTGTAACCCTAGTGCCAGGGAATCCAATATCCTCTTCTGGCCTCTGTGGGTACCTGCCCTCATGTGCACAAACCCACCCCACACATATACACATAATTTTAAAAATTTTAGTTAATCTTTTTAAAAAGAAATATTATGGCTTGGATGCGCCATGGCTTCGGTAGCGACCAGCTCTACTCGGCTGCTTGAGCGGCACCAGCACCTTCCCTAGGAGCTCGCAGGAGCCGGCTGGCCCCTGCTCCATGGTAACCATGTACAACCAGAAGGCGGTGATCAAAAATGCAGACATGTCGGAAGAGATGCAACAGGACTCGGTGGAGTGTGCTACCCAAGCGTTGGAGAAGTACAACACAGGAAAGGACATTGCGGCCCACATCAAGAAGGAATTTGACAAGAAGTACAATCCCACCTGGCACTGCATCGTGGGGCGGAACTTCGGTAGTTACGTGACACATGAAACCAAGCACTTCATCTATTTCTACCTGGGTCAAGTGGTCATTCTTCTGTTCAAATCCGGTTAGAAGCACAGCTGTGCCAAACACCCAATGACCCATCCAAACACAAGGACTGTATCCTAGATCCAAATACCAGAGACTGAATCTTCAGCCTTGCTAAAGGAACACCTCGTTTGAATCTGTTGTGTTTTGTACAGGGCACCATCCTCTGTACCTTTGTGGTTATAAACTAATTAGTAAAACAGCATATATTTGTATTTATTTTCTAGTCCATACTTCTGTACCCCATTTTTTTCTCTCGCTTAGGCCATTCCTTTAAAAATAAATCTATTGGAGATGTAAAAAAAAAAAAAAAAAAAGAAAGAAAAAAAGAAAAAAGAACTATTACTCAACCATTAAAAACAAGATCATGTGTGTCTGGCATAAGAAGGGAGATGCCACTGGACACTACAGCAATGATCTTATAGGGAGAATAGGGTTCTGAGAAGCTAAGAAGAGGACTGAGGGTAGAGAGACAATAGCTACAAGATTCAAAGCGTACCCACAAGTAAGAGTAGGTTCCAACTTCCTACAACTGTAGTTGACAACAGCCGAGCAGAGAGGTCCTTGAATGTTACCTGTGCAAATGATGGGGAGATGTTTGAGGCAATGGACATGCCAGTCATGTGGATACCATCAGCACTTTACACCCATGCTGGAACAGCATGCTGCACCCCATAATATGTACAATGCTAAATGTCTGTTTTTCAAAAGTGCTCATTTGTTTTGTTTTTGTTTTATAGTGTAAGAGGACATCTTACAGAGGAAGAAGGAAATATTCCCAACCCCCACATCTCTTAAATAACTATCTGGAATATATTAGAAAGTCTTATAATTTCACAGTAAAACAAAGAAAATTCAATTTAAAAGCAGGCAAAGAACTTGGATAAGCAAATAAGATGATATTAATGGCCACACAAAAAGATGTTCTTCGTCCTTAGCCGTCAGGGAAAATATAAATCAAAACCACAATAAAATAGACATTGGGATAGGACCAGCACAACAGATGAACAGGATGAAGGGACTGCCAATGTATACTGCTGAGAGGAATGCTAAATGGTGCAGCAGCCAAAACCGGTTTGCAGTTCCTCGTAAAGTAAACAGTTACCATAACACCCACCAGTCCTATCCAGGATAACTTAAAACATTTTCAAACACACACACACAAATTGTATCCGACTATTCACAGGCCTATTCCTTTTTAAAGCTGACTAATATTCCTTTTTACTGATACACCACATTTTAAAAACTGCATTCATCAGTTGATACACACTCGGATTATTTTCACTTGACTATTATAAATAATGTTGCCCTTCATTTTAAACAGGATCAGAAGACTACATCATGACTAGTAACATTCCAAAGATCAGGCAATAACATGGGAAACATAATTTAATCAAAGCAAAACAAGACCAAAAAAAAACCCTACAGAGCTGGTTATAAATAAATATCCTGAGAGGTACTTATGTTTTTAATAAGGAAAAAGTTCTGACACATGCTACAATATGGATAAACTTGAAGACATTATGCTAAGTAAAATAATCCAGTCACAAAAGTAAAATACCACTGATTTCACTCATGTGAGGTTCCTGCGTAGTTAGGTCCATACAAAGTTGGACCTAATAGTTGGTGCCAGACGCTAGGAGTGGGGAAATGGAAAGTTAGTGCTAAGTGCAGCTTGGAAAATGGAAAAGTCTGGATAATGGGTGGCAGTGATGGTCACAAAATACTATGAAAATCAATGAGCATGTAAAAATGATTAAAAAGAAGCCAGCAAGACAGCTCAGTGGGCAAAAGCACTTCCTTAAAACCAGCAGACCTGAGTTCCATTCCCAGAATTCAGGTAAGGATGAGAGAACCAACTCCACAAAATTGTCCTCTGACCTCACAATCACTCCATAATACATTTGTGTATTCACGGATGCTCATGTACACACAAACACACACATACACAAGCACTCGAGTAAGCTCATACACATTGTGCACAAGCATGCATATGTATGCACACATATAACAACATTTTTATTTTAAATGGTTAAAAAGGAGGTTCTATTATTCATATTATACCACATTTTTTTTATTCTGAAGGACACATTAGAAACAGGTGTGAAGACCTCATGTGATGTCTCCCAATTTGGCACCTCTCTGGGAACACTAAGAGAGGCCCAGAGTAGCTGGAGATGGTTGAGTGATTGAGAGCACTGGCTTCTCTTGCAGAGGACCCAGCTTTAGTTCCCAGTTCCCACATGATGACTGATATCCATCCTTAACTCCAGTTCCAGGGAATCCAATGCCCTCTTCTAGCTTCTACAGGCACAAGGAATACACATGGTGCACATACATACATGAGAACTAAATACTTACACACATAAAATGAAATAAATCTTAACAACAAAACATACTTCTTAAGGAAAAAAAGTGACTGGGAGCTGCATGCAGCTGGGGTGCACCACTGCTCCCACAGCATGTTCCAATAGCCTCTCAGCACGGAGAAGCCTCAGAAGGCCCTGCCATCAACCTCACTTAAGGTAATGCTCCACGTAATTACTTCTCACACAGGGGTACAAAGTGACTTTATCCAGGCTGCCCTATGAACATGTTCTCTCTAGTAGTGCATGGATAAGACAAATGAATAATAATTTTAGAAATCCAGTAATTGCACGTAGAGGGTTTGCTGTGTGCCATGTGAGGGGCTAGAGTGACACAGATAGCACTCTGCCCAGCAGAGATGAAGATCTTCCTCTCAGTAATCTATCATTTTCTCCTTTCCTTCCCTCATGGTGTTGGGGCTGGAACTAGGCTCTGCTCACACTAGGCAAAGGGCCTCCAACGGAGCCCAGCCACGGTTCAGGTTTCTCTTCAACTCAAGAAGCAACACTCCAGCCTTTCTGCTGAGGAAATGTAGGACAAAGCTTCAGACCTATGGGACAGAGACTCCATTGGCTTGCACTGTCAGCTCTGAACTGACAGAAGCAGAGTCTCCTCTAGTACTGACAACTTGGAGCCCACAGATGGGGTGAGTGGGGGTCCCACTTTACAGATTTCAAGTCACATGCCAGTTAGAAGGCAGGAACTATGTCTGACCTATCAGAGGTTCAGAGGATCAGATGAGAAGAATGGGTCAGCAGTGAAAACTGGCAGGAATGATCACCCTGCCTCTACCAATCCCAACAGGCAGACCCGAACACCCTGTTTACTCAGGCTTAGCCGAAAGCTCAGGAAGGTTGCATCATCTGCCCAAGATGGCTCAGCTCACATATATATGGTTACATATAAACAGAGGATATATATGTAACTGGAATTCACGCCCAGATCAGTGGGATTTCAACAAAGAACAAGACTATAGGGCCCTAGGAGGGGGAACATTGCATCCAAGCACATGGCACATATCTGCAGTTCCTGCAGTCAGGGGGCTGAGACAAGAGGACTGCTTGACCCTGGTTATCCAAGGTTAGTCTGGACAACTCATCGAGAAATTGTTTCCCCTGCTCCTCCTCTCTGACTCTGCTTCTGAGCAGTGACCAGCCTCCTTCAGCAGCTGTCTAGAGGTTGCCAGGGCCTCTGCTGGCAGCAGGATGGTGGGAGCCCTTTGGCTTCTCTGAGAAGAAAAGTCAGTGGAGTCTGCACAGGGGCTCTGTATGCAGAAGAGGACAAAACAGTGCAAAAGAAGTAACCAGCACTGCTAAAAGCAGCAAATGATACCTCACAGGTCAGCTACAGAAGGACAGTGCCATCATAGAGATGCACAGTGTAGCTGCTGCCCACTGAAGTGTACCACCTCAAAGTCACCAGAACCATGTATGTAACGTACATACCTAGCAAGGGAAAATTAGGAACCTAGGGCTCCAAGACAAGAAGACAGAACCTTCTCTTTATATCCATGCTAGTACACTTGAACTGTCTAACATTTACATACATTAACTAACTGGAAACCTAACAGGTAAGAACAAACAAACAAACAAATCTTGGATGGGTCTCTCTCCTACTACTGAGTTTGGGGTAGTTATCATCCATTGCCCCCTTTACTTCTTTTGTGCAAGATAGAAACACATTTGTCCTCCTAAAGTCTGTGGTGACATTAACAGACAAAGAGCAATGGCTACAGCGGTCCGCTTCTGTCCACAGGGCAACGTGGACACCTTCGCTCAGGGAAGAAAGCCCTTAAGCATGAGTCACCCCTGTGCTGCTTGCATTCTCTTCCTTATTCCTTGCACATCTCTAAATTTGAAAACCCCAGACTAAGAGTACTGAGGCCTCTTCCTGCCCCTACCCAAGCTGTGGAGCAGCAGTGAGTGGCTCTCCAATAAGAAAGACCCTTCAAAGGAGAGCCTTCAAAACTCCTTATCGTAGCCTGTGCCGGCTGCTGCCAAGTTTTACTTCCATTTTATGTCAAGGCTTCTTGTTTTGGTTTGGTTCTCTCCTAAGTCAGGAAGGATAGAAGCTGGAGGTCTTCCTTGAGAACTAAGAACCATGGCTGGAAGCACAAAAAGAGTTCAGAATGCCCACTGCTTGCCAGGAGCATGTGATCTGCTCAGAAGAATGTCGGCACAGGCTGTGGGTCGAGATGGGAGGACAGAAAACAAACAGACAAACTCAGAAAGCTCTCCACATACAGAAAAGGGTTCGGGAATGGGAACAATGAAAGCTATTCTCCCAAGTATTTTATCCTTCATCTTAAGTAGAAGGGCTGTGGCATTAAATGGAAAAGGCATAGCCCCACAGGAAACCCTGGAGACCCTTTTCCAGGGAGCCAGCCACACACCCACTCATGCCCAGACTAAGTCCCTATGTCACCTTCCAAAAGCCAAGGTCATTCAGCCATGCATCCCAGAGCCATGTCCTGAAGCAGCCAGAGTTCCATGCCTCTTACCAAAGGGAACTGCCACCCGAAAATCCCCAAATCCCCAAATTTAAGCCAATGATCCAAGCTAAACCTCCAAAAGGGAAGAGTGTCCACCTATTTCCTCCTGGTGCTTTGCTGGATAAAATCTGGCCCTCTGTTGTGGTTACCCTCAAACATACAGAACAAAGAGCTGCACCATTCCAGGAACTCTAATTTGTTCATTTTGAAGTCACAAAGATTTTTCAGAGGCCAGTGTTTCTGTCTGCTTGAGTCAAGCAACATTTCCCAGGCTGCACTAGTACGGGATCTGGGATCTTGCACTTGGCATCACCACAGTGCTGTGCATACGTACAATCTTACTTTCCAGTGTAAAGGGCAAGAAACAGTGTGAAGCAGGCTCTCTGCCCACACT